ACAACTCCTCCTGATGCTTCCACCTCCATGACCCCCCCCACACACATCCCCGCCCCCCCGCGCCCCCCCACCTTGGTGTACTGCGTGTCTGCGCTCCAGATGTAGGGGCACGGCCCCATGCAGAAGTTGGCCATATAACCTTTGGGTTCGTGGATCCACTTCCACTGCAGGTCCTTGCGGAAGTCGATGTAGAGCGGCCGCACGCAGCAGTTCTTCTCATCCGTCCTGGGGTTGGGGGGCACGGAGTTGGGGGGGGGGAGGGGGGCTGAGGACCCCCAGCCCTTCCCTGAACCCCCCCAGGAGGACAAAGGGAGCGCGGGGATGTCGGGTTTCCTGAGGGGACGCTGAGGGTTCTGTGGGGATTCCAAGGATCTGGGGGGGAGGTCCCAGGGGTGTAGGGGTCCCTTGCGTCTTAGGGACCCCTGTTTTCCCTACAGGACCCAAATGTCCTCAGGTGCCCAACAGGGACCCAAAGAACCCAATGATGACCCCAGGAACCCAGTGAGGATCCCAAGAACTTGATGATGACTCCAAAGTCCCAATGGAGATCCCAAGAACCCAATGGTGACCCAACACACTCAATGTTAACCCAACAAACCCAATGGGAATCCCAAGAACCCAATGGGGACCCAACAAACCCAATGCAGATCTCAAGAACCCAATGGTGACCCAAGGAACCCAATAGTGACCCAACAAACCCAATGGTGACCCCAGGAACCCAATAGGGATCCCAAGAACCCAATGGTGGCCCAACAAACCCAATGGGGAACCCAAGAACCCAATGATGACCCTAAGAACTCACTGGTGACCCAACGAACCCAATGGTGACCCCAGGAACCCAATGGGAATCCCAAGAACTCAATGGTGACCCTAACAACTCAATGGTGACCCTAACAACTCAATGGTGACCCAACGAACCCAATGGTGACCCCAGGAACCCAATGGGGATCCCAAGAACTCAGTGGTGACCCCAGGAACCCAATGGGGAACCCAAGAACCAATGGTGACCCCAGGACCCAATGGTGACCCAACAAACCTCATGGAGATCCCAAGAACACAATGACGACCTCAAGAACCCAACAGGGATCTCAATCCAAAAGACGCCCCCACCCCAGGAGGGTCCCGCTGTGCCCCCCCCCCATATTGGGGTGGCCCAGGACCCCCCTCTGCTCCATGTGCCCCCCAGCCCCAGTGATCCCAGCAGCTGGGGGTCCCGCAGCGCTCCTTTGTACACGTGCCCCCTCTTCCAACCCATTGACATATCGGGATCCCGCTTTGCCCCCAACCCTACTGGGGATACCCAGGACCCCCCCACGCCCCCCATGTGCCCACTCTGGGGGTCCGGCCGTGGGCTCCCACCCGAAGCAATACTCGGCGTCCAGGTCGCGCCGTCGCCGGGCGCTGTGCAGCTCGTTGGCGCGCTCTGCCGGCAGCGCCATGGCCAGGACGAACGGCACGCGGCGGTGCTTCTTGGCAATGCTCTGCATGTCCCCGCGCTGCTGCTCGAAGCCTGGCGGGGGGTGGCATTTTTTTTGGGGGGGGGAGGGAGGGGACAGAACACCAGGAGATCCCCCCACCCCCCCGCATCAGGGGATGGCGGTACCTTCGATGGAGATGCGCATCTCGTCGGCACGGCCGGAGCTCAGCTCGCAGGGACAGTGCACGCTCAGCCTGAAGACCCCCAGAGGGTCTGTAGGGGTGGGGGCAG